CAAGGGACAGTTGAGCAGGGAGTCAGGAATATCCCAAGTGCCTTGATGAAGAGGTGAGCATGTGGACATCAGTTACTGTCGCACCTCTGACTGTGTTTGCAGAGAAATAAGATTTCCTAGTTCTGCCTCTCCTGTTCTCCATGTTGCCTGTCTTGGGTAAAAATGCTTTCTGGCCATGTTTTTAGGGAAAATAAATTACATAAACAAATCAAATTCATAAATTCTTGTAGAAAAGAACCCCACCAGAGGTAAATGCTGTGCAGGATAAATATAAAGAGCTGGACCAGAACACGCACAGGCAGGCCAGTGTCATAATTACAGCTGAGGAGACCCCTCCACTGGCAGCAGTATGTCTGGAACCCCTGTCAGGACTGAAACAGGCGCAAGTCCACAGGGAGGGCCGGGGGAAGAGCTCGGTGAGTCCCCTTTGGGTGAAGGTCGTGGTGAGCTTGAGGAATTGTGGACAGTGGACCAACTGAGGGGTCCAAGATTCAAAGACCGGTCCTTGATCGCTGGCACCATTCCATATATATGAAGAACTTTGGGGACAAGAGCACTGTGTTCCCAATGGGTTAGGGGCATTTCCAGGTGATAGATCCAGGTTTGATCTTGACCCAGGGCGTGAGCACACTACGGGCCTCCAGATGCTGCTTCTGGTGTGGGGACCATTGAGACTGCCCAAGGTGGGGTCACCTGTTCCTGGCCCCTCCCTGGTGACTGGGGCTGGAGACCCTCAGAGCAGGGGTTCCAGTCCTCCTCCCTGAGCCCCACCATGTAGCCCTGGTGGGGACCTGGGCTGCTGCGCTGGGCCCTCCAGGTTCCTGGCAGCCTGCCTGGGGCCCTGTGGGTGACCGACATCACTGCCTCTTCCTGAAATGTTGCACGTTGGACCCAGGAGCCAGAATCCTGGGGAAGTGCACCTGACAGAGAAGGGACAGGTCCTCAGAGAGGGGGTGTGACAATCCCAAGGTCACTCAGGAGCAACGGGAAAAAGGAGGAGTGGGTCCAGCCCCCGAGACCCTGTAACAGCGCTCTCCTCAGAGCCCTTGGGACCAGCTGGCTGGGGCGAGGGTGTGGCAAAGTCCTCAGCCCAGAGTCTGGGCCTGGTGGAAGAAGCTTCTCCCTGGAGGACTCTGGCAGCCGCGTGGGGGCGCCGCTGCACCTGCACCTCAAGGCAGGGCGGGCCTGGGAGGGCCGGCCAGCTTCCCTGGCACCCTTTTGGCTTCATCAGCAACCCCCAGGGCGACAGTCCCCTAGATCAGATAGCAACAGAGCAGCCTGTCTGACCAGTCCCCCTGAACTCCGGGGATGACGCTTTGAATTGATTGGCTTGGTCTCGCGCGAACCCTGAGGGTCAAACGCGGTCGTGCACGAGTCGTGGTCCCCCGCAGACACGACATGGAAACTGCACCCCCAACGATGCCAGGCTGCAGGTGTCAGCAGATGTGACGGGGGCATGGGGGGGATTTCTGCCTTTGCCAACTCTTCTCCCCAAACTAGACATGCGCAGGGGCCAGGGGAACGACCCACAAGCGAAGCCCTCCTTATTCTTTCTTTCCAAAATTCTACAGTCCACCCATTTTCAAACTCTCCAAGAGACCCTGAGGCGGAAAGTGTTCCAACCCCATAAGTGGCAGACACATGAGACACGCAGCGGGGTGACACAGCCTTCACCGGGAGCTGTGCAAGAGGAGATTTTCCTCAGCGGGGTGACAGGCCCACAGCTCAGCGGTCGGCCTTGGAGTCCCAGGAGCCAAAACCACGCATGCAGCATGGTTTCCCTCGTCTTTGCCAGTGCAGGCGGCTTCTCTGGAAAAGTGTTTATATCTGAACCAAGCCTGAAGCGGTGGCCTTGACGCTCATGATGAGTCAAGCGGAGCTGTGTCCGCCGCTGCCCCCGGTGCAGTCCTGGTAGACGGGATCGCGACACGCTGGCTTCTGCACAGCACCCAGGGTGGCTGTGTCCTTCGCTGAGCAGCCAAGCCCTGCTGCGGGCGTCCTTGTCCCACCCAAGCGGACGACTCCGTGCCGTCCACACACACCAAAGAGCTGCCCGGGCACAGATCAGCACGTGCCCCCTGGGGACCAGGACCTCATGGGCGCGCTGCCTTTACCTGTCCCCCGAGGCCAGTTCTCAAGGGATGGAACGTATGGAAGAATGGATCCCTCCCCACTGCAAGACTCCGGGCTGAAAGAGGAGCAGGCTGGGGTCTCTGGCAGAGGTACCAAGGCCTCCTGGAGACCCTTTGCACAAAACTCCCAGGAACCTGAGCACCGCTCTGTGAAGGGCACTGCATTAGAGGCCAAGTTTGATGGGATTTCAACGTGTAGGGCTGATTTTATGGGAAAGCCACCAATTCATTAGTAGATCTGAGTGACGTGCCGTGTTGCTCGTGCTGCATTGAGGACAGGAAAATGCAGTCGAGCAGAGCAAGGTTCATGGTCATGTGCCACAGGTGTGCTGAGCAGTGACAGACAGGCTGGGGGAGGTTTGTCGTTCCACCCTGGCCATTTGTAATTGTGTCACTGTGATGGCAACTGCCAAGCCCTGCTCCCCACTGCCATCAGCTCTGGCACAGTAATATCCAGCCTCGTCCGACCTGGCCGCTGATGTCAGGGCGGCCGTGTTCCCCGAGCTGGACCCCCGAGGAAGCCCCCCGCTCAGGGATCCCCCGAGGGCCCGGCTTGCTTATGTTCGTACATATGACCAGCACAGGGCCTGGCGGCTTTGCTGGTACCTAGTACACGTATCTTTCTTGTCAAGGTTGGTCTCGCAGAAGGGCAGGGGATCCCTGACGTCTGCGTACCCCCATGGGGTCACTGACAGCTCGAGGGAGCGGCTGTTCTCAGCTCATAAGGGGGGACCACAGCGCCTGCAAGACAGAAGAGGAGGAAAGAAATGAAGGTGAGGGTCCCATATCTCAGCGGGGTGTTAACCGCAGAGCTAGGCCTTCCCCTGGGGCCAGGGTTGGGGGCAGGCGCAGTTGGGGTCCTTCGGGGGCAGGGCCTGGGGCGGCACCCTGTGGCAGAGAGTGAGGAGGGGGAAAAAAAACCAGGGGCAGGAAGAGGGTCCCAGGCCATGGTGACACCCAGAGGCTCTGTCTCTGAGCCCCACAGCACAGCTGGGCTCCCCGGGCTCCTCCCCTTATTCGCCTCTCGAGGCCCTGGGGACAGGGAGTGTTTGGTGTTTATGCAAATCCTGTCCCAAAATGGGCACCCTCCCTCCTTGGGGGATGTGTCACTCACCCCTAGTGCTGTGGGGGGCAGCTCAGGGACTTAGCAGCGGGGAAGGGGGGGCGCGGCTTCCCTCCATGTGCTTCTCTGGTCCAGCAAATCAGCTGGGGGCCTCCAAGGCCTGAGGTCACAAGACCCCTCCTGGGGACTGCGACCCCATGAACCCTGTCCCAACCCTCGCTGGTGGGGATCAGTACGCTGGGTGGGGCTCCAGCAGGGCCCCGTGTCCCTTCCAGTGATCCTGAGATAACTGGCCACTGCCCCACCACCTGAACCGGCCAATGAAGGGCGACCCGACCCATCTCTCTTCCCTTCTCCCCTCTGTCTCCCGCTAAAATGGGTCCCTCGGACCCCTCACTGAGGTCCCACCTGGTCATTTCATCCCTAAACAATATCTTTGTGCCATTAGGATACTGAGAAACTAAGAGTTCCAAACACAGTGCTGGTCCATTCAATCACCACATCCACTTGTGTGGCGCATCGGCCAGGTCACCGTCCATTTCATCAGCATGCTGTTTTTCTCAGTGACATCCCTTGCCATGCACCCTAGACTAGCATCTGGCACATCATTCTTCCTTTCCTTTATTTTTTCGTCAATAACTTTTATGGACACTTTGTACAAAAGGCAGGAGAAAGGCACCTTGATTCAGATTTCGCAACATCGGGCCGTGGTCCTGTTGCGTGTCCAGGGTCAGGCTCTGCACAGGTGCGCTCTGGCAGCGGGGGCTCACCTGGTCTCCACCCCACACAGAATCCTGTCATCGAACGCAACACAGCCGCGGTGCGCGCGCAGAGCGAGCCGCAGGGCAGGTGACAGTCCGCCCTACATCCCTCTGGGCAGAGCTCCCCAGAGGCGGCTGCACAGGCCTCCATCACGGCCCAGACCCAGAAAGCCCAGCCCTGAGCCCCAGCCTGAGCAGCAAGGTGCTGGCGGCCTGAGGTCAGAGCCTGGCAACTGGAGGGGGAAGAGGGCCAGAGGGAAAGCAAGTGGCCGGCCGGTGTCCCTCGCCAGTGCCGGGACAGGGCTCAGCCTCCCAAGGCGCCCACAAACTGGAATACAAGATTCAGCCTGTTCGAAGTGAGCTGCTTATCTCGTTGGCTCCGTGCAGTAGACACACGGGGTGTGCAGCCCCAGCACACAGTCCCCCACCTTCCACCCGAGCGTGGTCTGCTTTCTTCATTTAGAAATCAGACACGTGCGAGTCCCAGGTCTCTCAGCAAGGATGGACTGTGTGGCCCAGCACTGGTCCAGGGCATGTCAGGGTCAGTTGGCTGCTTCTTCTCAGGGAACCTTCCATCTTGTGAAGGGAAGACACCTGGTGGGTTTCTGTTCTTCCTTTCCTCTTGAGTTTGAGTGCGATGGCTGGAGCTCAAGCAGCCGTCTTGAGATCTAATGTCAACAAGACTTAAAACAAGGCAACATCACAGGGACAGTGAGCAGGGAGTCAGGAATATCCCAGTGCCTTGATGGAAGAGGTGAACATGTGGACATCAGTCACTGTCGCACCTCTGACTTGTTTGCAAAGAGGAATAAGCTTTCCTAGTTCTGCCTCTCTGTTCTCCATTTGCCTGTCTTGGAGTAAAAATGCATTTCTGGCCATAGGGAAATAAATTACATAAACAAATCAATTCATAGAATTCTTGGTAGGAAAAGAACCCCACAGAGGTAAATGCTGTGCAGATAAATATAAAGAATCTGGACAGAACACGACAGGCAGGCCGTGTCATAATTACAGCTGAGGAGACCCCTCCATGGAGCGGTATGTCTGGAACCCCTGTCAGGACTGAAAAGGCGCAAGTCACAGGGAGGGCGGGGGAAGAGCTCGGTGAGTCCCCTTTGGGGAAGAGTCTGGTGAGTCTGAGGATTGGTGGGACAGTGGCAACCTGAGGGGTCCAAGATTCAAACCGGTCTTGATCGCTGGCGACATTTCCATATATGAAGAATTTGGGGACAAGAGCACTGTGTTCCCATGTGGTTAGGGGGCATTTCCAGGTGATAGATCAGGTTGTCTTGACAGGGGTGTAGCACATACGGGGCCTCCAGATGCTGCTCTGGTGTGGGGACATTGAGACTCAGGTGGGGTCAGCCCTGTCCCCTGCCCCTCCCTGGCTGACCTGGGGCTGGAGACACTCAGAGCAGGGGTTCCTGGTCCCTCCTCCCTGCGCCCACCATGTAGCCCTGTGGGGACCTGTGCTGCTGGCTGGGCCTCAGGTCCTGGGCCAGCTGCCTGGGGTCCCCTGTGGGTGACACATCACTGCTTTCCCTGAAATGTTGCAGTTGTGACCCAGGAGCACAGAATCTGGGAGTGCACTGGACAGAGAAGGGACAGGTCTCAGAGAGGGGGTGACAATCCCAAGGTCACTCAGGAGCAACCGGGAAAAGGAGGGTTGGGCAGCCCCGAGACCCCTGAACACGCTCTCTCAGAGCCCTGGGACCAGCTGGCTGGGGCGAGGGTGTGGGAATGTCTCAGCCCAGAGTCCTGGGCCTGGTGGAGAAGCTTCTCCCTGAGGACTCTGGCAGCCGCCTGTGGGGGCGACGCTGCACCTGCCCCCGGGCAGGGCGGGCCTGGGAGGGCGGCCAGCTCCCTGCACCCTTTGGCTCATCAGAAACCCCAGGGACAAGTCCTAGATCAGAAGCAACTAGAGCAGCCTTTGACAGTCCTGAACTTGGGGATGAGCTTGAATTATGGCTTGGACTCCCGGAACCTGAGGGTAAAACGCGGTCTGTGCACAGTCGTGGTCCATCAGCACGACATGGAAACTGCATCCAACGATCAGCTGCAGGTGTCACAGCTGTGACGGGCAGTGGGGGATTTTCTTTCCCTTTGCCACCTCTTCCTTCCAAACTAGACATGCGCAGCCAGGGGACGGACCCAAAGGAAGCCTCTTTCTTTCTTTCCAAAAATTCTACAGTTCACATTTTCAAACTCTCCAAGAGACCTGAGGGAAAGTGTTCCAACCATAAGTGGCAGACACATGAGACACGCAGCGGGTGACACACCTTCACGGGGAGCTGTGAAGAGAGATTTTCCTCACGGGGTGACAGGCACAGGCTCAGGGTCGCCTTGGAGTCCCAGGGCCCCACGCATGCGCTGGTTTCCTCGTCTTTGCCAGTGCAGGGTTCTCTGGAAAAGTGTTATATCTGAGACCAAGCCTGAAGGGTGGCCTTGACGTCATGATGACAAGCGGAGCTGTGTCCGTGCTGCCCCGGGTGCAGTCCTGGTAGACGGGAGGTCGCGGACACGTCTGCTTCTGCACAGCACCAGGGTGGCTGTGTCCTTGCTGCAGCCACAGCCCTGTGTGCGTCCTTGTCACCCACAGCCGACGACTCCTGCCGTCACACACCCAGAGCTGCCCGGGCCAGATAAGCACGTGCCCTCCAGGGACCAGGACCTCCTGGGCGCTGCTTTATCCTGTCCCGAGGCCAAGTTCTCAGGGATGGAACGTTGGAGAATGGATCCCTCCACCTGCAGACTCCGGGATGAAAGAGGAACAGGCTGGGGGTCTCTGGCAGAGGGACCAGGCCCCCTGGAGACCTTTTGCATCCCAGGAACCTGAGCACCGCTCTGTGAAGGGCACTGCATTAAAGAGGCAAGTTGATGGGATTTCAAGTGTAGCTGATTTTATGGGAAAGCCACAATTCATTAGAGATCTGGAGTGACGTGCGTGTTGCTCGTGCTGCATTGAGGAAGGAAATGAGTGAGCAGAGGCCAAGGTCATGGTCATTGCCCAGAGGGTGTGTGAGAGTGACAGACAGGCTGGGGGAGGTTTGTGTTCCACCTGGCCATTTGTTTGTGTCACTGTGAGTCACTGAATGCTGCTCCCACTGCCATGCCCTGTGGCACAGTAGTAGTCAGCCTCGTCCCCGGCCTGGGCCCCGCTGATGGTCAGGGCGGCCGTGTTCCCCGAGCTGGACCCCGAGAACCGCTCAGGGATCCCCGAGGGCCGCTCACTGTCTTTATATATCACCAGCACAGGGGCCTGGCCCGGCTTCTGCTGGTACCAGTACACGTATTTCTTGTCAAGTTGGTCTCCAGAGCAGGGGATCCTGGCCGTCTGTCCTGGGGTCACTGACACTGAGGGAGGCTGTGTCAGCTCATAGGGGGACACAGCGCCTGCAAGACACAAGAGGAGAAAGAAATGAAGAGTGACGGTCCCATTCTCAGGGGGTGTAACCCAGAGGCTAGGCCTTCCCTGGGCTCAGGGTTGGGGCAGGCACAGGTTGGGGTCCTGTGGGGGCAGGGACTGGGGCGGCACCTGTGCAGAGAGTGAGGAGGGGCAGCAGGAGAGGGGTCCAGGCCATGGTGACACCCAGAGCTCTGCCTCTGAGCCCACAGCACAGCTGGGCTCCCCAGGCCCCTCTTATTCCCTCTCAGGCCCTGGGGGGCAGGGAGTGTTTGGTGTTTATGCAAATTCCTGTCCCCTGGGCCTCCTCCTTGGGGGATGTCACTCACCCAGCTGTGGGGGCAGCTCAGGGACTGCACAGGGAGGGGGAGCAGCATCCTCCATGTGCTCTCCCCTCAGCAAATCAGCCTCAGCCTCCAAGGCCTGTGGTCACAGACCCCTTCCTGGGGACTGACCCCATGACCCCTGTCCCAACCCTCCTGGCTGGGGTCAGTCCTGGGTGGGGCTCAGCAGGGCCGTGTCCCTTCCAGGAGCCTGAGATAACTGGCCACACCTGAACCGGCATAAGGGGACCCGGACCATCCTCTTCCTGCTCCTCTGTCTCCCCTCTGGGTCCCTGGACTCACTGAGGTCCCACCTGGTCATTTCATCTAAACAATATTTTGTGCCATTAGGATATGAGACTAAGAATTCCAAACCACAGTCTGGTCATTCAAGCACCACACACTTGTGTGGCTGCATCGCCAGGTCTAGTCTCATTTCTCACATACTGTTTTTCTCAGTGACATCCTTGTCCTCACCCTAGACTAGCATTTGTCACCATCAGTTCTTCCTTTCTTTATTTTTTCCTGTCAATCTTTTATGGAAACTTGTAAAAAGCAGGAGAAACCTACCCGACTCAGATTCCAACTCCGGGCCGTGGTCTCTGTGCGGGTCCAGGGTCAGGTCTGCACAGGTGCCAGCTCTGGAGCGGGGCGCTCTGTGGTCCCTCCACCCACACAGATCCTGTCATGAACCAACACAGCCCGGTGGGCAGAGCCGAGACTGGAGGCAGGTGACAGTCCCCTTCCCTCTGGGCAGAGCCTCCCAGAGGCGGCTGCACAGGCTCCATCAGGGACCAGGACCCAGAAAGCCCAGCCCTGAGCCCCAGCTGAGCACAGGAGCTGCGGCCTGAGGGCAGAGCCTGCCTGGAGGGGGAGAGGCAGAGGGACAAGTGGCCGGGTTGTCCCTGCCAGTGCCCGGGACAGGGGCTCAGCTCCCAGGACCACAACTGGATAGGGGGATGATACCCTGGCTGTGGGCAGGAGGCTCAGGCCACCTCCTGGGGAAGGACCAAGCCCTGGGAGTCCTGTCCCCTCGCACTTGCTCCCCTCACAGAGCACCTGGACCTCGGGGTGGCCCCAGGGAATCCCAACCCTGTGGCAGCTGCCCAGGCTGACACCTGTCCCCAGGCCCCTCCAGCTGTTTCCAGGTGAGACACTCACTGTGCCCGGGCTCCCGTCAGCGTCCTGGGGTGACGCTCTGTGAGTCTGACCTTCAGAACGTGCCCTCTGAAGCTTATGGGGACAGGATGGAATGTCCAACTATCTGTCTGAGGACTGAGCCTGGGACACCTGCTGCCACAGGCTGACATCCCCCTCAGGCCCCACCTGGGCAGCCCCAGCCTGTGTCCTGCTGCTTCAGCTGCAGCTCTGCCGCCCCCTGCTGGTGGAGGAGACTCAGGGCAGGCGCTTCCCTCCTCCAGGTTCCCCCACAGCACCTGTCACCTGGTGGGTGGACCCCAGTCAGTCCAGCCTCACCCTGTGCCAGTGTTCACCCCCTGCCCTGTTCTGCCCAGCACAGGGTCAGCAGTGGCCTGGTGTTGGGGTGGAAGGACAGCATGACTCCAGAGGGACCTGGGGAGTCTATGGAGGTTGACATTGTCATTTGTCTTGTTTGAGGTGCTTACACATCTACACGCATTTGTCAAAAGTCAGAAAAGTTCTCTAGAGAGGGTGGATTGTACTGGATGTAAATGACACCACCATTAACAAAAAAGGAGAAGAGAACAAGCGCATCATGTCATGTTGACAAGGAGGCAAAGTCCCACTTAGAGCGGAGCGTGTGGGATCCAGGCAGAGCAGAGACCCAGGACCAGGGAAGGACAGGAGGGGCGCGGGCTGGGCAGAGCTGGGCGCTGGGCTGCAAGACCTCAGTGGAGCCTCTGGGAGTTGGGGGCTGGGGCCTTCAGCT